AAGAAAGAATGGATATATATATGAATGAATGAATGAAAGGATTAACACAGGCTTGAGCTACTTTTACTTATAAGAACTTGTAAAAATCCAAAATAACAAAAGATAAAAACTGGGAACAATTGTACCAAGATTGAATTTTCCAGTTTCCATTTTTGATGTATCTACAGTGAAATTAAAATAAACTTTATTTTATACAGTCAGACTGAATGATAATGAAAATGAATTTGCCTGATGTGTTAATTTTCATTTTCAGCTTGCACTTCTTTCCAGTCAAGACTGGCAAAATGACTGAAGGCATTAACTAGTACAAGTGAGGCAGGCGTAGTGTTACAAAGATACAAATGGAAATTCTGTTCTTTCACTTGTTGGGACATGAATACAGTATGTTGGCTGGTATCCGTGGGGACCTACCCCTTGCTGTTCAGAGAGTTTCAGCACTTGTTTTTGCAGTCGCTGACATTCCTTATATTTTTCCTTGTAGTGTTCTGCAGCCATGTGCAGCCGCAACTTTAGATCCTCCACCTCTCTCTGCAGCTCTGCTACAACAGCTGGGTCTGCAGCAGCTTCGTCCTCTGCTTTGGCCTGTTCATGTAAAACATTACAGCAGAACAGATCAGAACTCCGGCCAACTGCAAGGTCCACTGTGACAGTGCAGCGATATAACTTCCTGTGAGTCATTAACTATAATCACTATCACTGTTTATATTGAAGTGATTCTTTAGTATGAGACTGGTGGTCAATAAAAACAGCAAGTATGAGAAGAATTACAACATCTTTCAAATGCAGAAGCAGTTTAAAAAACCCCAAAACAAAACAAACAAAAAAAACTGTGTGGGAGAAACGTTTTCTGTTTCCATTATTTTCATATCGTTAACTTTCTCACACAGTGCTCAACCAAACAGCGTACCTATACACAGCTGGACAATTATATACGATATGATTTATTATCTTTTATTTCTTTATGGTGACAAAATATTAAACGCTATTGTGATCTAAATATATGACACAAAGTCTTCACCCTCTTACATCAACTTTTGATGAAAGTTGATGTATAATTTTGAAAAATGTTGAACTTTTGCATATTTATTATTTAATGTGTTATTTTAGATGTTACCAGACATTAATCCTTGTTCTTGATCTGCCTGTTTACCATGATATTAAATACGCTTAACTTCAAATGAAGCTCTTTTAAACACGAAAGGCTGTCTGGCTATTTGAGTTTCACTCTTACTGCTTCCTGCGTGGCCTCTGCCTTCATCTGCTCCACCAGGCATTCCAGGCGGACGCACTGGGCCTGAGTTTCAGCCTTGGCTTGGCGGAGGTTGTCAGCCTCAAGTTTAATGCGGTACAGTTCAGACATTGTACGATCGCGTGCACTGGAGGCGTCTCTCAGCTCGGCAGCCAGCAAAGAGGACTGCTGCTGGTTAGCCTGGAGCTGTTCTTCCTTCTGCCGCAGCTGCTCCTTCAGGGCTTTCACATCTCCCTGCAAGAAGTAAACACGTTTAAGGCGACTGACTCTCATTTCTCTTTAAAGATCAGTTATTACATCTCAGTTCTCCTCTTCCTATTCTTTCTACTGGAAATCTTTAAATTTCATATGATATAATAATGAATAATATTAAATACGGTTTATTATCTACTTCTGACCTCAAAACAAAAATCTTTTTTTTTTCTTACCAAGGTGGAAACTTTGGCCAGGATCTCTTTGTACTGTTTGTCCTTCTCAGTGAGGCAAGCCTGGAGGCGCCCCACCTCCTCTTTAAACTGGGCAATGGCGTTTTCCTTGTTTACGTCCACAGACTTCAACATCTGCAGCTCCGCACTCAACTTAGTGTTCTCCAGCTCCCGGTTTTTCAGGTGAATCTGGCGCGCGCACACACACACGCACACGCACACACACACGAGAAGTTATAAAACACAAACAGAGTGGGGTTTTTTACCTCATTTATACAACACCGATCACAATCAAAGACCATATTAAAATAAATGTTGCATGACCTCAATTACAAAACAGAGATTGAGATAGGCCCATAAAGTCGTCCTTTTGAAACAGACGCAGTGTGATGGTGCAAGTTAAATTAGGTAGAGGTTTTCTGTGGGAGCACAACAGTATGTGGCACTCCCAGTTCCTGTGCAGCACATACCACAACAAAGACACAGAAACACCAATTGTGCCAGAAAACGGAACAAGGCATGTACCGTTTACAATAAAATTCCGTGCAATCGTGTGCCAAAAAAACAAAACATTGAATCTTTATTTAAAGATCATATTGGTAAGTTTGAGGATTTAGTATTGATATCAACAAAAATAGAGCATTACCTTGTAGAGTTCCTTCTCATCTTTTTCATTCTTAAGATGAGATTCAAGAACCTCCTTCTCTGCTGTAAGTTTCTTAAGTCTGTCCTTAAGACTGGAGAAACAGAAACAAAAACAATATATAACTAAATAGTGCATATGTTCGCATTACTAACTCTCTGTACATCTAAACAAACAAATCTAGAAAATCTAGTGAATCTGCCACAATCCTTTTACTGAGAATTCACCTGTCTAGCTCTGTTTCCTTTTGAATGCCTTTCTGTGTCACTCCAATCAGATCTTCCTCCAACTGTATGATTCTGGCTGTGGCCTCATCCAGTCTCCTCTTTACCTCCTCTTTCTCTTCCAGCAGGGCCTGGGAAGAATGCTGCACTTCCTGTGAGACAGAAGACAGAAGTAAAGTTCAGCTGAAATAAAAAGAAAGCCTCATAATCCATAAAAAAAAATACAACACTTCTTGCAGTACCTAACTTCCTAACATACAACTTTCCATCTCTGACTCAAAGCTTGAGGAAAAATGTGTGCAAAACATTAAAATTTTATTGTCTTTGAAATACAAGTCTAATTCAAAATGAACGTGATGGCTTGATAGAGAGTTTTAAATGTTCAAGAAAAAAATGAAATGAATATTTTACAATTTGTTTATAGGCAGAATTTTGGAATCTTTATATTCACACACCATAAAAAAATCATATAAAAGTCTAGTCATAAAATTAACAGCCACAAAATCTGTAATCATGTTTTCATCTGAAAGCCGTTTTAAAACCAGCAGATTTATGGCAGAAAATGGCAAAGTGAATTATGACTGACAATGCTTTTAAGACCTAATGTTATACTATAAAAAGCAGAATTACAACTTTGATAATACAGACATCCATATCCATCAGTGTGTGATTTATTTTTTCAGTACATCATGTGTTTGGATACATCTGCATGTTAGGACCCCTTCACTAGGGGGTGCTAAGAGACTGCTGGGCCAAATGTAAAAAGCTCCATGCAAGAGCCAGTGCATTAATACTATAAATCACTGATTTCCACATGTGACTATTAAAATATATAGCATGGCCTGAAAAAGGCATTTTGTGTCATTTACAAGTTTTAAAACTGCTACAAATACTGCATTTCTCAGCTTACTTGGTTCTCTCTTCTCAGCTGAGCACAGTTCTCCTTCTCTTGCTCACACGCCTTCTGCAGGCTCTCTTTCTCAGCCTCCAGTTCCTCCTTTTCCTGCTGCAGGAGGGCCATGTTTTTAAGCAACTCATCTTTCTCCCGTTGCACTTCTTCCACCTTTTGCTGCCAAGAAAAAACAAAAACACTTTTCAGTATTTTTAAAAGCTTAATTTACTGGTAACATACGACTGAAATCATAATTTTCAACTGTGCACGCTAGAAATTGATATTGAAGCAAAATAAAACCCAATGAAAATCGATGCGTACTGAGCGCTGCTGCTCAGGCAAATTGTACCTCGAGAATGCCAGCTTTCGTGGTGACCACCAGGATGTCAGAGTTGCATTCATCTTCCACAGTCAGCAGCTCATCCTCTGTGGGGCTGCTGGCACGGAACTGAAATGGTGTGCTGGCCCCTCGGATCTCCCCTTTGTGGGTCACATAACAAAACTGGTAGAACTCGCCATCATCATTGGGAACATAGTACCCTGGGGGAAGTAAATCACTCAGTCAGTGAGCTCAATGTTAGACAACAGAGCAACACGAAACATATTCCTCCACAAGTCTAAACATATCTCAGTTATTAGCGAATCTTAACCTGAACACTTAACCCAAAGTTACAATAAACTGAGAGAAAAAAAAAGGCACAAAAAGAGCACAAATACTACGTAAGTGTTAAGTGCTGGTCTGGCAAATCACTTTAATTGTGCCAGTTTATGAAGGGTGGTATAAAAGACAAAAACAGAACATTAACTCAAATGTCATTAACACCAGAATGGAGATGTCTGGGAAAAGTTTCTCCTCTATCCATCCTGTCCACAACTGCACACTTAACAATTCACTCACCAACCCACATGATATTCAGTTATTAAAAGGTGTCAAAGTTACTGAAAAGTATGTATGCTCTTACCCTGAAAGACCACTGTTCTGTTCACTGCAGTGCCTTCCACATAGTTCTCAGGGAGAGGCGACCACAAGAATGTGTAATAGTCCCTCGCTGTGCTCCAACCAACCTGTGAGACATTGTGGGGAATTCATTCAACAAGACACCCTCACCACATCAGTGCAGCATAATAGCAATGGATGGATTAACAGGGGAACTTTCCCAAATCCACACGCTGTCACTTCCAAAATATCTCAAACTAGTTTATTGCAGTAATCACAGGGCTTTAAATCTATCTTCGGATGATAGTGTAAGGACATGCCTACTGTAATATTTTTTCATTTACAAAAGTTATCATCTGGAAACCACTCCTGCTAACCATGTGCATGTGGTCTGGCCCTTATCATGAAAAAGCCTAGCTGTGGAAATGTAGCTACAACTCACTTCAAACAGGAAAGTGGAAATAGGTGAAAATTTTATACATAGGCAACTTGAAAATGAAAACCAAAATTTAATTATACGTATTTTATGTGTTGTTAACTGATGACTGATGAGGGGGAAGTGCAGAAAATACATCCATAACTTCAGACCGGTGCCATAAAACTGTCAAACAAAATCAGTGTCACATTGAGCTTGCTGGTTTTTGGTGTGCACTCCCAGGCACAAGCATGCATCTACAACAAGCCCAGTTAAACCCCATTACACCATTACACCTAAGTTGGTTAAGTTGTGGTGTGACTTTCAAAACTCTGCTCTTAAAAAAAGGCAACGAAAAGAAAAATCATACAAGCAAATTGCACTGCAGATACACTGTGTTTCTAGAAAGCTGCATGTAGGAAGCCTTTTTGCAACGTCTGGGCAGTTTATTTTCTCACCTGTGTGCAAACAGCCTGCAGCCACAATACTGTGAGTGTTCATCAGAGCCAGAGATAGATGGCCCTGGTGCTCCAAAACCCCCAGTGCAGTTCCAGCCTCCAGCAGTAAAAAACAGGAAGCAATTAAAACATGCACCTAGTTAGTGAGTGTCATTACTGAAGGCTAGCCCTCACCAGTCCACTCATTAGAGCTGCAGAGGTGGTGGTGGTGGGTGAAACCTCTGTAGGGAAATTACAACAGAGGACTTTGCAATGTTGTAAATTCCTGTTTTTCCTCATAGATATTAGACAAAAGGCAGAGAAAGCGTAAGGCTACCATAACAACACCAAAACACTGGTTTCAGATCAGTGACTAAGACAACAACACAGATAACACTGTAAGAGTAAACTTTCCAAAACCTAAAAGAAGTCTGAACGTCTACCTATGCAACATGCTCTTCAGCTTTAACACGATTTTTCATCAGCACTTCAGCAAGAATGCTGACAGAAGTGAGTGACAGTATTCCCCCAGGAAGTACTGTAACATCTATCTGCCAATTAGCCTATATAAATTCAAGAGTTATTCATGAATCACACAGACAGGTTGTGGTCAGACAGGTTAATTATAACGTTGGGTTAGCTTTCTCCTGGGCCAATGCTGACAACCTGCCTCAACATTCCTTCATAAAGCCGAAAACAGCTAGCACCAGCTCCATACTTGCAGTTATGGAACAACAACATCAAACCGACAGGGACCCATACTAAAACAAACATTTCCTTAATCCATTTACCATCAAGACCTTAATTACTTTATCTAATTATTAATATGATTAGTATTAATTTGACCAAACTAGTTTGAAGGTTGCTGTGCTTTTCTATTTCCTCTTAATAAATCATAAGCCTTGTATAATATATAAATATAATACTTGTATAACTATGCATGTGACGAATAAAAAAAAACTTGAATCCTGAATCTTAAATAAGCCAGGTTACAGAGTTATATAGTGGGAACATTGAAAGGAAGAACGAGCCTGTGCCAAAAGCAGCTATAACTACTCTTTGGAGCTCACGCGAATGTGTGTAAAGCTCTATCATTTGCCTGGATAGGTAAATGATAGAGCTTTGGCACCAAGCATTACGTCTGTCAACAGTGTCAATGATTTACACAATTTAAAATCCTGCACTCAGCCTTTTCTGCTGACGCTCTATTGTTTGGAAGCTCAAGAAATTTGTAATTTTAAGATTTATGCTGCCAGTTGGTGCCTACCTTCAGGCTAAACACAATGTGATGAGGTATCACAATGCAGTACCCAATTTGGTATGTAAACAGCCTCCAGATAATACACGATCCAACTTCAATATGAAGGCATGACCTAATTTATCAGTGAGGTTAGGGAAAGTGTCTCTGCATATACCCACAATAATATCACATGTAAAGCAAAATGCACACATCAATAGTTGACATAACAAGGACAGTAAACTTAGGAGCTTGAATCAATATTGCAAAGAAATTAACAATTGAACCTATTTCTTGGGCTGTATTACTTGAACTATAGCATGACATTAGAATGAGTGCATGCTGCAAATAACCTATAACTTCAAGTAAGTATATATATATATATATATATATATATATATATATATAAAATTAAAACTGAAGTTTTCATCTTCAGTCATCTTTTCCTTTCCACTAAAGTAACACACGTTTTGCAGTCTCAATGCGAGTAAACGATCTATGAGTTTATGAGTCACAGACAGTCTAGTTGAATCCTATATAACAATCCTGCAATTACCTATTAATGAGTGACACTGTAGTCAGCATTACAATATTGTTACATTATAACCTGTCCAAATTGTAAAAGAAAGGTAACATACTTTTTAACTACAAGATAAGCAGTTATATTTGCAAATTATTTCAAGAGAATTTGGTGGTTTTAATACTTCTATTAGGAAAGGAAGCCACTGTTAACACATGTTTTAAAACTTTACATGCAACTGTGTGCACCTGTGGCACTGTTAAAGTATAATTTATCAGTTCTGTCTCTTCGTATATGCTTCAGCTATAACATCTGAGGAAATACACTGTTACAACTAATTTGGCTGTGGATTTAGCTTTAACTCATTATTTAGCCATTGTTTAATTCAGAAGACAACTAACAAAATCAGCACAAGCAGATTGAGAGAGAAAGAGCCATAAGGCTGGGTTCGTTAATGTGATGTATTTAATCTTAGCTTCCATCTCAACTTCAGTAGATAAAAAGCATGCTGGTCTTAATAATAAGCCTAAAGTCACGATTCAATGCAGATGAGGCTAATGTAAAGCTACTGGGTTGGATTTAATGCACTTCTATAACAAGGCCCATATGGGACACCCAAGCACATTTTGGAGGTTAAAATGCTCCACTTCCTCTGTCAAGTTTCAAGTGGATAAACTTGAAATCTCTCTTTTATTCCATAGATAAAATAGTTTATACAACAGACAGTCTAGATGTAAACTGCAGGCTGTTCATAATACAAATTAAATTATCAGACAGTATTTTTACTTTCCATTATATCACACATAAAGTGCTCTAGTGGTCTAGTTATGAAAATACACATTGGACTACTTCTGTTAGTACCATCATGGATTCATAGTCCTCATTGATCATAATTATATATCGTGCTTTATTATTCCACTCATTCACCTTGAAAATGCCAACCCAGTCCTTTGGATGCGGTTTGATGAACTGTGTCAGGGTATAGTGACACTCCAACGCAGCATGGGGCAGGTAGCTCTTCCCCACATTCTGGAAGATGACGTGGGCAAAATTTGACGTGTCCATGTTGTTGCTTAACAATGTCCTATCCAGGAGCAGTGCCATAAAACCCACTCAGCAGCGGCTACAAAGGAAGACAAAAGCAATCAAATATATATGAAATGCCCACAGAAACAAGTACAACAAATGACTGGAGTAGTGAAAAGACAAACTAGTCAACTTCAATGAAGGTTTAATCATTCGATTCCTAAATTTTGGCCATAGAATGTAATTTATGATAAATAGACTGTTTTTTTATATAGCGCTTTTCCACTCTACTTGAGCATACTGTCTAATATTCACACACATTCACACTCCATTAAACATATTAGGAATAACCCGGGGTTTTATCCAAATACTTGCAGACTACAGCAGTCAGACATCGACCAACTAAACCCCTGATTAGTAGATGACCTGTTCTACCTCCTCAGACACTACTACCCCTAAATATTTATTCAATGAACTGTTTAGTTTACATTAATATAAAAAGTATTCCAACGTAAATGGTGGTTTTTAACCAGTTTAGCTTTCAGGCAAGCTAGAGTTAGTTTGACACAGCAAATACAATCCTTATTATCTGCAGACATTTCTCAATGAGCCCTTAAGATATGTTAGCAAGTGGATGGACAAATCTATCTTGAACTTCAAGTCCCATTTCATTTTGGTAAGCGGTATGGATTCCTATTTTCAAACCTCCATGAAATCAAAGCATTGGGAAGTCCTTGTGAAAGTGTTAAGTCAAAAAAAAAGAATAACTTCAACACTGTCATTAAGAATTTGCCTTTAAATGGCTGGGAAGCTTGTAATTTGCCAGCAGTAAACTCAGCCACGGTTCATGACAACCAAATTTTATTCAAGTCGTGACATTTTAGTTCCAGAACATGTCAGGAAAAAAATTAAAAAGAATTACAACAGGAAACCACTAGGGGTGCAATGATACTCGTATCGATATTGAACCGTTCATACAGTGCTTTTGGTTCGGTATGCATATGTATCAAACAATACAAAATTTTTAATTTATTTTATCAACTTTTCTTCTGACGATGCTGTCTGTGTTGAGCGCTCAGTGGATCTGCGCTCGACAGTGCAGCCTAGGCGGAGTAGTCGAATGCAGATTCACTGAGCGCAGGGCAAGCTAGCGAGACAGAAGTTAAGCTCTCCTTACAACATGGCAAATTGAACCCCCCACTAGAGCTGGGCGATATAAGATTTTTTCATATCACGATATGTTTTTTTCATTTCAGGCGATAACGATATCTATCAGTGTAAAGTAATCAGTGTAAAGTGTAAAGTTAGTCCCCATAGGGAAATAGTTCCTCTGCATTTAACCCATTCAC